CCGGCCCAGATAATTCCGCTCGTTTCTTGCACAAGATCTTCAACCTAACGTTCTGGACTTGTCGTTTTTAAGGGTTTGGGGCGGGTTTCCATGATGTTTCCAAAGTCTATCCCAGCTGAGGCGAGTTATTGGTTCAAGTGCTGTCGAGTGGTTTGCAGTTTTGCTCTTCTGGAAAACCAGCAAGATGTCAAGTTCACAAGAACCATCGTGGATGTGGATGGCTCATATGTCAGCAAGCACAAGGCAGCAGCGTCAAACAGGGATCCTTGTACGCTTCCGGAGAACAAGGGACCATACTGGTTGAAGATTGGACGTCCTCTTATACTAGCGTCCTAGAACCTAGAGGCTGTAAGATCTTCTTCACTCAAAGACCCTTGTCCTTTAAATTGGGTACGAACTATTATCAATTTTGTCATATGGCATCAACCCCGCAGGTTGTGACCAGCAAGAAACGAAAAAGGTCGGAGCCGGCCCCCTCGTCCAACGATCCGTGTCCTTTGCGCCGAACTTCCAGCAAGCAGAAAAAACCCAGGAAGACGATTCATGTTGGCCGCGTCTTTCTGTTGCGGAGCCGTGAGACAGGTGAGAATCTCTGGGTGCCCTTGCCTAGTAAGACTTGTGTCAGAGGTGCTGCAGGCCCTGCTGAGCGACGGTCTGAAATTGAGGATGCGATGGAAAGGCACATTGCCAAGGACTGCTACGTGGGAGCAGACTCCGGCCCGGCCATCCAGAGCATGTGTGCCAAAATGGAGGTACCGGCTTCTGCTGCCGTGCACAGCGCTGAGATTTTCAGGCCCTTGGTCAAGTTCCCGAAGTATGGCCTTACGCCAGGACAAATCAGAACCATGCGGAAGTTTGCCAAGCCCAAGAGAGCTGTTGCGAAGGTGAAGGGCATGCAGAAGGACAAGTTTTTGTGGAGGACCCCGTTGCGTCCACAGAGCAGAACAGGGATTCAGTTGTTGACCTTCTCAGCGGTAACCCCTTCCCTGCGCAGGACTCTCGCACCTTCCAGACGGTGGGAGGAGACAATACCGCGGAAGCGCAATTCAGCTCGGCGAAGCACCAGCTTCGCCGACAGAATTTGTTGGGGCGTGCCGGCGCCAAACGGGCAACGAGCGCTCTGTTGGCCGGACCGTATCAGAACCATGTTCCAGGACTCGCCCCGCTGCTGCAAGCTTTTTCCGTGTATTTCATGGACCGTCTTGGGGTGGATCCCTATAAGGTCTTTGAGGAAGCCGATCCTTGGCATGTCCTTGATGTGTGATAGCCACAAAACTTGGGCTTCTGTAGTCCACAGCAGCTCTCCTTGCTGCCCCTCAGAAAAAGTAACGACAATTCAGCTTCGCGGTGGTTTGCACTTGCGTGTAGGTATATAATTTAAGTACACAAGATTGGGTTCTTCCCACCAAATTCAAGGCCTCGTAGCGAGTTTCGACGGCACCTTCTGCTCATGCGCTCACATGTTTGCCATTTCTACCTGCATGCCTTGAGCACTACTTGTCTCACCGTGGCATGTTGCTCTGAGTGGGTTTGCGGGTAGTTTGTAGTGACAAGTTCGTCTGAATATGAGTGCTGTTTTCAACAATGGTGGTGACGAGCCTTTCTCGCCGTGGAGCTTTACAGACTCCCCGCCCACCAAGCGCTTGAAAGCAAGCGTCTGGGTACATGCTATCAGGATTAGTTTTCCGGTTATTGGGATTTCTCTTTTGAAAACCCCAAAAATACCCGTACCTCCTTAAACCCGTAAGCGTTCCAGGCTATTGGTCCCAGAAGTCGGCTACAGAGGCAGCCTTCGCTAACGAGGTAGTCGTGGTTTCCTTCGCCTAGGATCAATCAAATAACAAGCCATTCTAGGTGCTTGCGCACGCACCCAACGAGTCGTGGAATCCTCATGCCTTGCAGGACGCCGCGCAAGCCTGCCCGCAAAACAAAATAACTGAAGCAGATGCGTGCTCTGCGTGGCTTGTGCCAGGCTCGGATCGAGGCCGCTGCCAAGACCAAACCCAAGAAGGCTGCTGCGTGCTGTAGCTTACGGTTGGGGTTGTGGTTGGGAGCCGTACGAATACAAGTTAATTAGGGTAATCTTTATTGGCTCTTTTACGAGGTCCATGGGACGAAGCAACATGCCTCCGACATTCGAGCGGCTTTTTATATGAACCGACCCTAAGAACCATAGCCTTTTCAAGCGAAGGGAAAGCTTCGGATGTCCTAGCACATGTCACTCGCAATCACGACGATTGCCAACTTTGACTACTTGACCGGGGCGCAGCGTGCAAAATCTCCGCCTGTTGCGTGTTGAGCTTAACAAATGTAGCACAGCCAAAACTTTGAAACGAGTTTCGCTTGGGAAAATGGTAACTGGGCCCGGAATTTTTGAAAATCCCGGGCCCAACATAGCCTCCATGTCTCAAGTATAGAAACCCAAAAGACACTGTAAAATACAGGGTTTTCAGGATTTGCCACATGCTTACTCTTTGTGGAACCGCGGCAAAACGTCTGGGCGAAGCGTTTAGGGTTTTAGGGTTTTAGGGCTTTAGGGCTTGGGTTTTAGGGCTTTAGGGTTTTAGGGCTTTAGGGTTTTAGGGCTTTAGGGTTTTAGGGTTTAGGGTTTAGGGTTCTCAACTCCTTACAGAGGGATATGTAGGGGGATATATAGTAATATCGGGGATTCTGATAGGGGCTATTAAGGCGATATTAGGAGTTTAGACTATAGCTCATATGGGGGTCTCTTAAAATTAAGTAATGTAGGGATATCAAGGTTCGGGTTGTGCAAAATGAGGGGTACCTTTTGGGGTCCCCACAATAAGGATTCTCGTATTGTTGTGTCTATATTAGGGTCCCGCTATTTTTGGAAACTACCGCTTAACACCCGTTTACAAGGACTGTAGTGTTTGCTGCGCCTTTTGGAGGTTCCATGTTAGTTTGGGGCAGGTTTCGAGCATCGCAAGGTTTTTGGGGGCCCCTTTATGCTGGGTTGCCCATGGCTGGGCCCTCTGAGCAGCCCTCTGCAGACCTTGCGGAGACTCATAGAGACAGAAATCTACAGGTGTTGCATGTGTTTCCTGGCTGCCATGCGCGTGCTGTAGACAGTTGCAAGTGAGGACTACGATGCCTACAAAAGCAGCATCAGGTTCTTTATTGAGTCTAGTACGGCCCGTATTAGCTTTTGTGCCTGACTTCAGCGACCAGAGTTGTTTGCATAGCTTCTGCAGCTTGAAAGGGATAGAACCCACAGCCGTGAAGCTTGAGGATAGGGGAAGGCAGGGGCGTATGATCTGAGCAACAGCATGGTGCTTGGGGATTGCTTTTGCTGAGGCATGCTGGCTCACCGGAAAGCGAAAGCCGCGGCTGGGATGGAGTTGTCTCACCTGAGGTTTTCTAGGGTTTTCTCCACCCACTTTCAGAGGGTCAAAAGGTGACACGAAGTTATGTGGCCAGGGTTTAGGGCTTCAGGATTGGGCTAAAGGATCCATATTTTATGTTTGGGCTCATTTCCTATACCCCACCTTCGTTTACCTCACCTTACGAGACTTCTGATACCTATACAATTCCGATCCCCCACGCAAAGTGCTATAAAGTTGCGAAATAAGTGCTTTCACGGAGCTCTACTCCCGTCCCCTCTCTTATGGGAACCCCCCTAAATGGTACCCCCAACTTTGGGAAGCCCCAGACAATAAAAACTTCGGATATCTTGTATCCGACTACTTGTACATGGAGTGTAGGAGACACATCCTCGAGATTCCGTCTTCCAGCTCAACAGTGTTTAGGGTTTACGGTTCCAAGTGTAGGGAGACCCTGATCACCAGTCAGAGTTCTCCGGTAGTGTCATAGCGAGCTTTCCGCACAGTGCAGGACAGATGTAGAAAGCTTTGCTTGGTTCTCAAACGTGACATACAGCCCAGGAATCCCCATCAACCCTTAAACAGGGTCTACGTGGGTATGTTCTGTGAATGCTTGGACGCAAAAGAAGGAAGCACATGGCTTTGGTAAGTCCGACCCTCAACAATGGGACGCCATTATAGTCATTTGCTAAGTATGCGGTCCTAATTTAGGGGGAGGTGGAATGCCAAAATCTGCTTCTTGTGCAAGTCCTATGCTGGAACACCAGAATTTCTACTCTAGTACTAGACCCCCAAACCCTAAACTCATTGGGGCCTAGTAGGGAGCGATGGAATGTAGACCCTCTAAAATCTGTTCCCTTACTCCCTACTAACCCCCTGTAAGTAAAACGTGGACTTGACTTGGTGCTTAGGAGGGAATGGGGAAATGGATCCCTATAGTAGTCCTTGTATAATCCCAAATAATAATCCCGAAAATCCGATAATCCATTCCCCCATTCCCTCCTGAGCACCCGGGAGTTGAGGGCTTTGGGGCTCTTGAGGAGCTTCATGTACAGCTCCTGGAAGCAAAGCTGCTCGAGAAGCTTGGGCTGTAAAAGCCATCACATTCTATTGTTTACCTTGACCCTCCAATGTAGTACCTTTTTGGTAGTCCTAATAAGAGTCCTAGCCCAAAAACCATACCAAACCCAAGAAGGAATCACATTGCAGGGTCCAGGTAGTGTTTAAGGGTTGAGAGTTTTGCACTAATAGAAGGGTTTGGCATTTTGGGATGGAGGGTTTTGAATGTTAGGGAGTTGAAGCTTCAGGCAGATGGAAGCTGGTTTATCGGGAAGAATATTGGGGAGTCAAATGGACAAGGAGCTGGAAACGGGGGTTACGCAAACACAGGGTATTTATGATCCCAACTATAGCTGTACTTCTATAGCCATATCAGGGCACCTAGGGGGTTTAAAATTGAACTGTAAGTACAGGAATAGTAGTTGTGAACCTCCAAGTAGGGTGTCCCAGTATAGATCCGTACATACTACAGTTCTCAGTCGAAGGAATGGAAGAACTACCTTGAAAAAGTGTCTATGAGTAGCTTCGGGTCTGAAGCCGCTGCAGCGGTAGCTGGCAGTTTGGGACAGCAGGTAAAGTGTCATATCCGTTTTTGGGTCACACTGGCACCTATTCAATCCAAAATTCTACATAACCCTCTCTAAAAGCCAAACTTACGTGCTCCAAGCATTACATGGATGCCTTGCAGTAGCCCCTACAGAAACAGTTGCACGAATAGCGTTCTTTTGGCCAGGAGTTGAAGGAGGTGTACACGGGAGCCAAGCGCTAAATCTGGAGTCGGTGAGTTTTGTGCCACCACATTTGACCGACTCTGTCAAGATACAGGGAGCCTCATGCCAATGCCAACGCCTCAGCGCTGCAAGCCAACCGAAATTCTTTATAAGCCTAGCATGAAGCCAAAACGTGAACGGACCCCCAGCCAAATCCCCTTTACTTCCCCACTCCACACCTGAAGCAGCGGTAGGTCACTGGTCGAAGTCCGTAAGCCCCTAAACCCTAGTCCCCAAGCCCGGAGGACTCAGTAAGTATGCTTATCACCCCTATAAGCGACAAAATGATCCCAGTCATTACCATTATTTTTAAAACTGCTTACTACTTACCCCTGGCCCTACCTAAACCCTAAAACCCTAAAGCCCTAAATTTCTAAGCCCATTGCCACTACAAGCAGGAAGGGCCCGGATGGCTTCGAGGATGCACTGACCGAAATTCGTGTCTTGCCTCGACATGGGCTCATGGAGGTTTAGGGTGTTGTCCCTACACCGAACCCCTAAACCCAATAGGGCTTAGATTCAGAGTAACCCCTTCATTCTAATTGTACTCCGACCCCAGTTAGAACCATACTAGGGGACCCACTTGCCCGGCTTAGATTTACATTGTACGTACAGCTATAAGCAGGTTGCACTTGGCCCGACCTCCCGAGCACGTGCCAAATTTGGTTCCCCATATGCCTGCCCTTAGATGACCATAATAGGGGTCTTCATGTTTGGGGTCTCATGTAAGACGCCGTCATTTCGCGAGCAAGAGCAATACTCCTGCAAGCGCCTTTACTTTGGGGTACTCTCGGAGAATTTGTTTTTCAATTCAAAGCCCCACGCCCCTGCCACAAATCCACAACCCCAAGTGTTCAGGCGAATTAACCCCCCCTCGATTTGTAGAATCGTTAAGCTCTGCAACCACTAACGCAAAATAACAAGCACGTAAACTTCCATCAGCCATACTATTGATATGAAAAAACCTGCGCTTCCTGGATATGCTATAGTCCCATACTTCCCGAAGTATAAGGTGGGTCAGCCAGAATTTGAAATATCGTATCAGCCTGAGAGCTACTAGGTGGTTGTCAGGGACTGGGGTTTAGAATCTAAGA